AGTAGCTGCACGACTGGTACGATCGCCGTCAGGGTCGCGCTTCTGGAGCTCGGGGCTCTGCCGCTGGAGGTACTTCTGCTGACGTCACTGGAGCTGGGAGTGGTGCTGGTCCCAGAGGTGCTACTGCTGGAGACCCTGGGTCTGGGGCTGCTACTGCTGGAGACACTGAGGCTGGAGACCCTAGGACTAGAGGTGCCGGTTCTGGGGGTGCTACTGTTGGTGGAATTGGTCCTGGAGGAGCTGGCTCTGAGGGTTCTGGAGCTTCTAGAGGTGCTGGAGCTGCTGGGGGTGCTGGAGCTGCTGGTGCTGGTGGCACTGCACAGCCGCGCCTGTTCTTTGCTCCACCGTCTCCGTCGTCTCAGCCACCATCTGACTCTGTGCTTCGCCAGGTTCTTAGTCTCCCTTCGTCTACTGGTCTTCCGTTAGAGCTTGGCTCACCGCTGCCTGCTCCTTCTCCTTACACTGAGCAGACAGGAGGTTTTACTGAGCGTCATGAGCCTGCGCCGCGTCCTGTCTCGCCTGTCCGTTCTAGTAGTTTTGGTCGTCGTGTTCCTCGTTCGCGTCAGCCGGCTGTCCCCGGCACCCACCTCGTAGTTCGTCGTCCTTCCTCTCCTCCGCAGCGTGTTCCCCTTCCGTCCCCTCCTGCGTCTTCTTTGCCTACCGTTCCTGAGCCTGAGTCTGACCGCACCCGCGCTGCTCACCCTACTGTCACGCGTCTGCTAGCCACTGTTGTCACTGACCCGTCGTTTGAGTCTGCTGCTGCGTCTGCCTTTGTTGCTGAGCTTTTTGACTTTGCTGCTGCCTGTCGTCTAGACTACGCCGCTAGTCTTGTTGCTGAGTCTGAGTCTGTCTGTCCTCCATCCGTCGGGGGTGAGTGAGCTCTTGGCACGGACGTCCTTCAGGACAGGCAGGAGGACCTTGAGTGTCTTGCAGCCGCTGCGCCTCATCTCGTGTCCATGCTGCTTGCCCCTGAGGGAGACCCGGATGCTCCAGACATCCCGACCCCGCGCTCTTATGCTGAGGCGATCGCGGGTGAGTACTCCTCTCAGTGGCAGACAGCCATGGACGCAGATATGGCATCCTGGAAGTCCACAGGCACTTACGTCAACGAGGTTCCCCCTCCTGGGGCAAACATCGTCAGTGGCATGTGGATTTTCAGGGTGAAGCGGCCGCCAGGTTCTCCGCCTGTCTTCAAGGCTCGTTACGTTGCTCGAGGTTTCAGTCAGCGAGAGGGAGTTGACTTCTTCCAGACCTTCTCCCCCACCCCGAAGATGACCACTCTTCCAGTGCTGCTGCACGTTGCCGCTCAGCGTGACTACGAGCTTCACTCTCTTGACTTCAGCACAGCTTTCTTACAGGGCAGTCTGCACGAGGAGATCTGGCTGCGCCGCCCTCCTGGCTTCACTGGGTCGTTCCCTCCTGGTACCCAGTGGAGCCTCCGGCGGCCGGTCTACGGTCTCCGCCAGGCGCCACGTGAGTGGCACGACACACTGAGGACGACACGTGCGGCTCTTGGGTTCGCGCCTTCTACTGCTGACCCGTTGCTGTTTCTGCGCACCGACACCTCGCTGCCGCCGTTCTACATCCTCGTGTACGTCGACGACTTGGTCTTTGCCACTGCTGACACTAAGGCTCTCGCCCTGGTGAAGTCGGAGCTGCAGAAGAGACACACATGCACAGACCAGGGTGAGTTGCGCAGCTACCTTGGCTTGTAGATCACCCAGGACAGAGCACGCCGCACCATCACACTGACTCAGTCACACATGGTGCAGCAGGTCCTTCAGCGCTTCGGCTTCACCTGGTCTTTGCCACAGCACACTCCTCTGGCCACAGGCCACTCGCTCTCAGCTCCACCTTCGGACGAGTCCGTAGAGCCGAGTGGCCCGTACCCAGAGCTAGTGGGTTGCCTCATGTACCTGATGACCTGCACTCGACCTGACCTTGTGCACCCTCTTGGCCTTCTGGCTCGCTACATGTCTCCTGGTAGGCACCGAAAGGCACATGGATGCTGCTAAGAGGGTATTACGCTACTTGTGCAGTACATTGGGCATGGGGCTCGTGCTTGGAGGGCGGAGCCCAGTTGTCCTCACTGGGCACTCGGACGCTTCTTGGGTTGACGACCAGGCTACGCAGCGGTCGTCACAGGGTTACACCTTCAGCCTTGGCTCTGGTTCAGTTTCCTGGCGTTCTACACGCTCGTCTTCAGTTCTCGACTCCAGTTGTGAGGCTGAGATCTACTCCACAGCCATGGCTGCACAGGAGCTTCGTTGGCTCACCTACCTGCTGACCGACCTGGGAGAGCGGCCTCGTTCTCCTCCAGTGCTGTACGTCGACAACAAGGGCGCCATTGCCTTGTGTCAGGAGCACAGACTGGAGCACAGAACGAAGCACATCGCTCTGCGTTACTTTCTTGCTCGAGAGCTGTAGTAGCGTGGCCAGCTTCGTCTTGCTTACGTGGCCAGTCGGGCCAACACTGCTGATATATTCACCAAGGCGCTTCCGCCTGGTGATCATCAGCGTTTCTGCACTTTGTTAGGCCTTGTGCCCACGCTTCCTCACTTGCTGTAGGCTTTGTTTGTACTGTGATCTATATGTATATCTGCATGCTTGCTCTTGTAGGTAGAGATCATTGTGCTGTTGTTGTTACATATATATCTCTGCATGTGAACTGGCCTTGTGGCCTTTTGCTTGTGCTCAGACTGCGTGGTGACGTTGTGATCCACCCTGAGCTTGCTTTGCTTCTCTTGCCTGGTCTTGTGACCCCTTGTTCTCCCCCACTTTGCCTATGGGGGTGTGTCAAAGTATATGAATTTTATATATGTGTAGGCTGTAGTGGGGTAGCCATTATGGGGCACAACCCCTTTTAGGGTTTCATACTTGTACCCAACTTTTCCATAGTTTATTCATTCCTGCTGCTAGATTCTAACAGCATCAACCCTAAATACATGCCTCCCCGTGTTCAGGGTTGATGCCTCCCTGACCGGATGCATGCCCTTCTGGGGTTTATGTTTTTTGCCCGCGGGCAGGAGCTCCCCCGGACGGAGTCGCTTGTCTGCTGAGATATATTCGGCCGTATGTCCAGAATCTAGATGGGCGTTTTGTGGGATACCCTAAATATTCGGGTTCCTTTTCTGGGTATTTACCAAGTCCTAACCAGGGCCTATTTTTGGATTTTAGGTACTCTGATTTCCAGAGTAGTTTTTTTCCCAACTCTGAAATCTAGGGTTGTTCCTGCGCCTTACTCTGATTTGTCAGAGTAACCCTATACTTTCAAAAAAAAACCCAGGCACGTCAGAGTAATATTTTTCTCTACTCTGATGTTAGTTAAGTTTGGTGTACCATGACCTTAATAGGTTTTTGTTACGCCTTTTGTACTTGCATTTCCGCGTCGCCCACGTTTCCCCCCTCACTGCGATGTTTCAGAGTGAGGTGTTGGCGGCACCGATAATCTGACTAAGGGCGTGTCCGAAGTGAAACGTCAATACGGTAGATGTCGCTGGATGTCGGTAAATGTCATCCCTCGGATCGACAGTTCCAACCGTCAGGATTTACCGACATCCCCAAACGGATGTCCACAAAAGTCGACGTTTCACTTCGGACACCCCCAAAGAGCGTGTCTGAAGTGAAATGTCGACGGATGTACAGTTTCGTCGGGGAATGCTGGCGAATCTCAACCCTCGGATTGAGCGTTCCGACCGTCAGGATTCCTCGACGTCCCTCAAAGTTTCGTCGGGAAACGTCGACGTTCACTTCAGACATACCGTCATCACCCGGATATAAGACAGTGTTGAATAGTAGACAGGGGTTGTCTATTATACGGGTGTCTCTTATAAACAGGCTAGCCTCATTATAAGACACCTATTTGTGTGTACGAGATAAGACATATGTGTCTTATAATCGAAACTGCAATATATTATAGTGAAAATTGAAGTACCGCGTACATTTTTACCATTGCGACACGCGAATTCTGCCACGTGCTGACTCACGTACTACCAAATTTGCCTTTGCAAGTATTCTCCATGACGTGGCAACCCGAACAATGGTTGCCGAAGTGGCACCTTCGCAACATCCACACTCATAATGAGAAACTCTTTTCAAGATGTGTGAAAATATTTCTAAGTAGTTTAAAAAAGTTTCCATTTATAAGACTTATAAGACACCCAAAACCTCCCCAAATACAAGATAACCCAAGCATTTTTTTTAGTGTATGAGATAAGACATATATGTCTTATATCCGGGCGATGACGGTAAAGAGAGAGGGGACTGGCTGGCATCGTGCGCTGGTTGGGAAAGTTGTCAAACTACGGTAGCCAATCAGTGCTCATATTGCCGCCAACACACGACAGAAATCAGGAGAATGATATCGACGATTCGGGGAAAACCCGCTAAACGCAGGGGGAGGTGGGGAGGGGAGGGGGGCGGGGGAGGGGGGGCCGGCAGGTATTCCCTATACAGAGTAAATTCGGTCCCCGAAAAAAAAACCCAGAGGCCTCAGAGTAAACTACAGCATAACTCTGACAAATCAGAGAAATCGGAAGTCCCAAAAAAATTACCCAGCGGGTACAGAGTTACTTTCAAAAATGACTCTGATTTTAAGAGAAACAGAGTAATTTACTCTGAAAACGTGAGGCCTGGTCCTAACCGTCTGTGGTGTAGCATTCATCATACCGTTTTAGCACATAATTTTCCTGCGTTATGAAACAAGAATTGTGAAACATAATTTGACATGGTTGTCGAGGTAAATGTGCTACCGGTATTGACAGCATTGTTTCTCGTGTAGAACCCAACCATCAAACCAAATACTGGTACATGCTCAACCTCAACCAGTCCTATGTCTATTTTTCACAGTTCTAGACCTACAGGTAAATGAGATATTGGTATGTACAGCCACCGAATGCATACATCAATAGTGCAGTACCATGCATGGAGTCCCTATGTTACATATTCTGTTCCTGTACAACCTCTCTTACATGTACCCTCCTTCTCTACACCACACCCAGCTACTCTTCCTTCCTCCCATTCTGCATGCATTTCCTTGCACGGAACTCCTTATCCCCATCTTTGAACGTTCCCACCATCCGATCCCACCAAGTGAAATACAGGGACCGATTATAGCGAGGATCCAGGTGGTGGAGGAAGTGCGTGGTGGGGCGCTGAGCCCAAGGAGTGAGCAGAATGCCGAAGGAGAGAGGCACAAAGACCAAGGGGGGAAGGTGGTAGGCACAATGGCCCATGGTGTTGACCATGCCCACTGGGATGAGGGCTAGGGCTAGCTCCAGGGGACGCCAGGAGGGTAGGGAGTGGAGGAGGAGGACGAAGAGCATGTAGAAGGCCGACCAATCTAGGATGAACTCGAAGGGGTCTGTGGAGAGAAGAGGGGTGGTTGGGTGGGGGTGGGGGGAGGGACACAGAGGCTGCGTGAGAGGATTCAGAGCAGGATTACCAGGCAGGGCGAGAAGGAAACAGATCCACTGCTCGAATCTGTTTGTTTTCTTTGGTTTAATTTATTAACATACGGTACTAAAACCGCAGTGTGAAGAGGAACTCCAGGAGCTAGCTACTCCAGTAGCCATAAAGAGAATTGCCTCATCACCGTACCAAAATTGCCAGAAGAGGTTGCAGCAGAGATTGCTCACCGGCATTGGAGGTGGAAAATACACCAAGGTCCGTGGTGGTGCGGTGGTGCATGGCATGCAACGCGCGGTACAGTGTCTTATTCACGTGCATGAGCGAGTGCGTCCAGAAGAACCACGCATCATGTGCCACCATGATACCCCACGCCAGCACCCACGTGGGCAGCACACGTGGGGGAAACACCAGCTCAGCGCGTGCGACGATACCCTCCCGGAGGTACCCAACGAGGAGAAAGAGTGGGAGGTGGGAGACGAAGACGGCGAGGAAGTTCTGCCGGGTAAAGTGCGTCAGGCGGAAGGGCACGTTGGGGATGATTCGGCACACGCCGAGAGATGGAAATCGGTGCTCCAGCAGTGTGAGGAGGTGGTAGAGGAAGGTTTCTGCAACGAATTGGGCGAGAGTTGCGGCTAAGGCGCCGAGAACAGCGACGCAGCAGCAGGTCAGGAGTTCCGATAGACCTCTGTTGTTGGAACCATTTGATGGGGTTGCTGTTGCCACCATGTCACCTGCCATTGCTGTCTGCGGAAGAACCCTTAGGAGTAGCCCAGTTAGTGAAGTGAGTTTTCCTGGATTTGAATCTCCTTGGGTGAGTATTTCCGAGTGGAACGGAACATTAGCCTGATCGGCGTGCACGGAGCTGGAGCTACTACTAGTACTGGCGGCGGATCTGGCTGAATCGCCCTGACTGCTGGACATATGAGATTGCGGTTGCCATGGTGATGGGGCATCTGCTCCAAGAGATGTCCACGATTTGAAAAGGGCTGCAGGAATTCCGGATGCAGCCATGATTCCGCGGCAGCAGCAGGGGCAGAAGCGAAATGAATACTTGCAAGCAGGAGAACTCTTCCTCGTAGTACCACCAGCTCTGCTATTACTAGCCGCGAGGGACGGACATGTAAGCTCAGCAGATAGGATCAATCGGTCACGACGTGTAACCCCAAGTTCTGAGTCACAGCAGCTCAACTGGTCGTGGGAGCGCTGCTAAATTACTCTCGTGTGTTCGGACAGGAGGAATTCAGTCTTCGGGGCGCTCCGGCAAGAAACGAATCGCCACTGACACCCACTGCGCTGCTCTGGCTTGAGCGAGTTTCTCGATGGCGTGACACGATCATCATGACGATCGCGAGGATCGCGAGGATCGCGATAAGCAGTGAAGGTTCCAGAATGAACCACGACTTCCATTGAGTATTCGTGAGGTGACACGCGTTTGGTAGGTGCGCGCCAGCAGCTACCTTTGCTTTCCTGGCTGTGCTGGCAGAGCGTGGCTCGGACAGACGAGAATCGGAGCGCGCGACGCCGAGTGTGAAGCTGGATGAAGAGCTAACTGCTGCTACTAGTCTGGATTGCCTTGCCACAGTGGGGCGCGGATAATTTTCTAACCACGGATTCCAGCTTGGAAATTTTTGAGATATATGTTTCCTGGCATGCATGCAGTGCGTTTGGAGCCCCGATATTCCCTCGACTGCAACGTGATGGGGGCGTGAAGCTGCTAACTTTTTTTAGGGCGTGTAAAATTGTAACGACCAAACCCATTTTCCGCCCTTTGCGCGTTTCTGGCGATTGCGAAACGATGTAACGCGTAAGCGATCCCCGCCACAATTTTCGCGAGCGCGGTGGGCATCCGCCACAAACCATTCCCGTAATTGAAAGCGAAATATATTTTTCTTACTACTGCATTCGAACGGGGTATGGAATATAGGGGCCTCGGAGGCCTAGACCAGAGTGTTTAACAAAGCATTAAGCTTAGGCGAGCATAAAGGTTTTTCTCCTCGCTGAGGAAACATGTCTAAGTAGGTCCCTAAATTCAGTGAGTCCAATTTCTATGCAGAATACCCCTGCTATTTGGTAAAATCGGGGAGACTACTCTAAACGACGTAACCCTAATTCCTCGCAATCGCCAGAAGCGCCCAAATGAACGACCATAGCGTTTGGTCGTTACAATTTTACACGCCCTTACGATTGCACATGTGACAGAATTCATTACTCATCATGAGGAAAAAAATTCTAAGCGACGGACGAAATGGAGAGCACTGATTCTAGTAACGGGCTACGGTAGAGTGTTGTACGCGTTATGGAGCTGCGCGGGTTCGAGGTTTAGGGTAAGGAATCCGGACTACGACATTCCTTGGAGTGTAGGGAAACCGTAGAAAATGAATTCCATTGACAAAGCCACGAATGTGACAGGCTAGCTACTTCCAACAAACCCTGGACAAAAGCTAGATCAAGCATGGTGTAGAAACACCAAGAAGACCCATTGTTGTTCCATCTAGAGCAAAAACGCTGCAATCATCGAGAGTACCAGGGCCATGGAGCTTCCATACAAGGCAAAAGTACCAGCACCTGGACAGTCACAGGAAAAAAAAAAAAAAAAAAAAAAAAAAATCAAAACTTGGTAAAGAATAGTGCTGACATGTTGGTGTTGCCTCATTGCATTGGCATACACTGCACGGCACCTGTCAACACAAGACAATTACAGCCATGCTAGTGCGGCACACCGTTGCATACCAACTTCAAGTACCAGTTGCGGCATTGCACTCAGAGCCACTCAAGGGCCAGCTTGTAGCATCTATTAGTATACACTCCAGGGCGTACCTTTTCCGTACGGTGACACGGCATCGTAGCTGGTGAGGGAGCCCATGTTGGCGGGGAACACCGCGCTAGAGACCTCAATAGCTCCCATATCAGAATGACGTAGTCTTGCCAAGAATTTTCTCGGTCGTTCCCTGACCACCAGCCGCCTTTACATGCGCCACTGCCTTCGGCCCTCCATCGTCTCCCCCAACCCTATAAAAACTTGCGGTGTTGGCATCGTTAGTCGCATTTGATCTAATGGCTTCGATGGGTCCTATGTCGGACACAATGAAGATGGCATCCAAGCCTTTGCCATCGCCGGTGCCAGTGACGTTGCTGTAGAGATACAGTGGCTGGTTGACCAACGTGTTTAGGCTGAACCGCCCGTCCTTGTACTGCTCGGAAGGGAAAACAGGCTCATGGTGAACGATGACGATCATAGCGTAGGAACACATACATGAGCATTTCGAAATGCGCATTACACACGCAGAAATGCGCGAACTTGTCGGCTAGTACCGCTGGATAAGAACTCACCTTGCCGGATGCCATATCCTCGGGTGAGATGTATTCGCGGATCGCCATGAACTTGGCCAGGCGGGACATGGCATTCTTGGCGTTGGCAGACATGGCGTTGAGACTCGCCACGGCCCCCTTGGACTTCACCATTGTGTCGAGCGCCTCAAGAAGGGGGTCCGACGCGGTTGTAGCGGACGGGTTCATGCCCTGGCAGCCCGAGAGCGCTTGATCCAGGCGTCGTTGTCAGGCAGCAGAAGCGAGACACTGCTGATGTCGGTCACCTTGTCGTATCCCGCGGCAAACTCCACCATTCCAGAGGATAGGTCCTTGGAGGGAAATTGGGCCTGATCGCGGATTTGAGCCAGCACGTCGGAGAGGGCAACTGCTTCCGCGAGGCGCGGGAGAGGGAGAATCACCGCCCAGATTGATGCGGAGTAGCAAGGCAAAGGTGAAGACGTGGCGCGCCGACGATGCGGACTGAATGTTGGCCATGGCGCTGTGCTCGTGTGACTAAGGAAAAGCTGACGTTGGCGTGGGAGCTTGCAGTTAGACGAGAAACACTCGTGCGGGCGAGGTGATGAGGATGAGGTGAAACGGGCGCTGTTGGCAGTGAAGGCTTGCTGATGGTATGAAGTGGGAATGTTGAGAAATATATCCCCCGCATCTTCATCGTGAACCAGAGCGCTTCTGCCGTGGCGTTCCAATCTTGTTGTCCTTCAATTTGAGCTTCCAGCGATGACCAATAATTCCGTGTCCCCATGACCCTCGCGGAAACCAACGACCTTCACAATGTACACGTACACTCAGCTCCACATTTCAGATGTCCACTCAGCATTTACGGTTTTTGCATTATTGCATTATTAGTACGCGTACACTGTTAGAGGGGTGTTTACTGTTCACTTTGAACAGTACTCCCAACCCCATCCTTATCCTTATCTTTTCAGATTTCCTAGTGCCACGTGGCACTCTACTTTTCTTGTTTCTACTTTCTAGTCCCACGAAGTACTTTCCATCATTCATTCTTGCATGTTATATTAACCTTTGCTTGTATTCCTTCATATCAATCAATTCTCATTCAACTCTTCAATTACATACCGTATACTCCCGGAAAAAACACCCCCCCATAATTGTACACCCCCGGGTAGCTTGTGCGGGGTGGGTGTTATGATAGACCTCGTTTCTACTGTACCCCCCTTTTTGGCTGATTTTCTATAAGAGCGTGTTCCTACGGACCCCTATCAGGCTAACCCCTTGTCAGGCTGGTGCATGCGAGCGATTTCGTTATTAACACCGTTTTCCAGACTTGAAAAATTACAATGCTGTTCGATAGATTGGTCGAGCGAAATCTTTGACACGTGCTGTTCAGTGACCCTTGTCAGGCAATCGCGCGAAATCTTTCGAAAGGTGCTGTTTCAGCGAGCCATGGTCAGGGAATCGTGCGAAATTCTTCACACATGTTGTTTTGTCGGGTATGAAACATACAAAGACTTTTCCGCCAAACACACGCCACGATCGCCTGGAATCTGTCTGAACTCGGAATTTTTTTCCTTTGCAACCTTTCGGGACCGTTGCGCAGTGCCACGTCACCCAACGCATTTTGTCGCGCACTTCACAAACGATCAAAACGTCTCATACAAAATG